TCGTTGCAATATGCGTTTTTGCTGCCTGTTGCAGCGCTTTAGCGCTGCACGGCAAAAACGCATAATTACAAAAACGCATGATCGCGCCGGTGCCTTGATATGTACGTTTAAATGTGAAGCGCCGTGTTGCTCAGTATTTGCATAAACTGTATGCTCAAGAGTCGAATGCTTTAGCATGCGAGTTTCAGCATGAGTGCTAACGGCTTCATGAAATGGATGCACTAGGAGCGGTCTAAAGTTTCCGTTTCCTGAATTTAAAAACACAACTGCAGCTGTTTTCAGTAACATTAAAAGTCTGTTGAATTCAATGCAAAAGAAGCTCACTTGGTCATCCGTAACTTGTTGTGCGCAGTGGTCAATAAGCTCATCAATCCATTTGTATCCCACGCCATCAGAAAACTGCTCTTTTTGTCGCCACAGAATGTTTTCTGGCAGGTAAGGGTTTTCCTGCAATGAAGTCCTATTTTTTCCAAAAATCTTAGAAACAAGAATTTGGTATCGAAGATGCAATCAGAATTTGTATACACAATTGAAATAGCCAAATAAACTAACAGGCGTGTCAAAAGCAGTTCGTAAAATCCACTTTTCTATTTGCTGACCATCCTGAAGCTTTGGCCTTTTATGACGCGCACGTGTGAGTATTGCAGTGTCCAGGAATGACTTGTCCAGAAACGGAACTCGAACTTCAACACTGTTTGCCATGCACGATTTATCGGCTCGAAGGCAGTCCGCCGTGCTTAGCAGTTGCACACGACGTATTGTTTCCTGTACAAACACACTGGAGAACTTTGAAAACAAAACTGTTACACGAATTTTTTAAAAAATATAAGTAACAGAGTAGTAAACGAGTTGAGTGAAGCAAAATTAGAAACGACCGGCGCATAGTTAACATTTGAAAGACATTTGCTGTAAGGACAGCTAACGATAGCAGGATGAAAATGGATAAAAAAAGGCACTTGTTTTTTTTTTTTTTGCAGCTTCTACAGGGTTCCGGACTTGAATTTTAACAGTAATCCTTGTCCTTATTTATGATGGTCTTTGTCGATAAAGTATCTCTAGGACC